CACAGGTGAAACACATTTCTCAACAAATGCTTAGAAAATTACAAACAAGATTCTATAGGTTAAGAAAACAAATGTGAATTAATAGTCATTGAAGAAAGAGGCTTAAATGGTTTCCAACACAAAGAAAGAAAGATCTCAGGAATTACACTAAAATACATCCTATAAGTTCATCTGCTTGAAACAGATCTGATACAATCTGGAACCAAAGAGGAAGGATCAGTTGGATGTCATTATGAGCTCACCATCTTGAACATCCTCCAGGCCTGATTTTCGTATTTGTCCAGTGCTAATCTTATCCTGGCTCTGGTTACTGTCCCTAAACCTCCTCTCTAACTTCAGAAGATGGAACACATCATTTGTGGTTCAAGTCCCCAGGTCTGAATGAATGGGGTGTGAGTCTGGCTGGTCAATTTTCTTCATCCCGTTTCCTCATCTTTACACTAAGAATGATGATTCTAACCATGCTGTGGTGTGTTGTGGGCATTAAATGGTGCTTGTCCAACACCCAGTGCCCCCTCAGGATCAACTGTTCCTGTCTTGTCATCAGCCATTCTACCTCCTGTTAGTCCTGACAGATTGTCTGTCCTGCCAATTTACCCCGGGGAAGTCATTGAGGACAAAGCCCCCTGGCCGCATCCCCACTGCCAAGCAGCGCCTCTAGCGCCCAGAAGCCTCTGCACATGCACTTCCCCTCCTCCCTCCTCCTTTGTCCTCAGTGCAGTAGCAAGGTGGTCTTGCTCATGTCTCCCTGGGTGCCCGGATCTCATGTTCCCTGCCAAGTGTCTTCTCCTCAGCCTTGTCCTTCACATACACAGCCTCCAGTCTCAGCGGAGGCCTCGGCCTCTTCCTCCTCCCCCCACGCCCCCAGGCCCTGAGTCATCTCCATCTTAGACATAAGTGAAAGCAAATACATAAATGGGACCTGGAGGCATGGTTCCAATGTAGAGCTCTTGCCTTCAGCAGAAAAAGCCAAGTGACAGCACAAGGCCCCGAGTTTCAAGCCTTAGAGTCAGGGCGCGCGCACACACACACACACACACACACGTGCGCACGCATGCATTCACATACACACATACATACACGCAAGTTGACTATTTCAACATTGGTGCTAGTGGCTCACATCTGTAATTCTAGCTACTCAGGAGGCTGAGCTCTGAGGATCAAGGTTTGAAGCCAGCCAGGGCAGAGAAGTCCATAAACTCTCATCTCTAACTAGTTAGCTGTAGCTCAAGAGGTAGAGTATCAGCCTTAAACAAAGAGGTAAGGGAGAGCATCAAGGTTCTTGGTTCAAGTCCCAGTACTGATACATGCACAAAAATAAAACAAAATAATTTTTAAAAATATTCTTTCTTGACCCTGCACTATGTCTTCATTTGTTACATTTACTCCCTACCACTCCCTCTCTTGTTCTGGGGCTTGAACTCAGGGCCTGGACCCTGTCCCTGAGCTTTTGTGCTAAAGGCTAGTACTTTACTACTTGAGCCACAGCACTACTTCTGGCTTTTTTTTTCCTTTGGTGGTTAATTGGAGACAAGAGTCTCAAGGACTTTCCTGTCCTTCAGACCTGGATCCTCAGATCTCAGCCTCCTGAGTAGCTAGGATTACAGGCATGAGCTATCTAGTGTCCCGAAACTCTTCTTCTTTTTTAATTGCTCCTTCTCCTTGGTTTCCTACTACCTTACCCAACTTCTTCCAGCTTTCCTCAGTCCATCTCTTCTACAGCAGCGATTCTCTTCCTCATACTTTCTGTCTACTTTGCTCCCAAAGTATGAGCTCTGTGAGATCAACAGCAATCCCTCATTTATTTCTCTGTACCCAGCATCCAGTGTAAACAGTAATCATTCAGGGAAAGCTCACAAAATGAACACACAGATGCCCTTCTCCAAACCATAGTTCCTCAATCTAATTAAAGGGAACAAACATTTTCTGTGCTCCAACTGCATGCCACATGTAGGAAGAGTAAAAGAGATAAATAACACATGGCCCGTGCCCTGCAGGAGTGATTTACCATCCAGCAAGAGTGATGAGGGATCCAGATGGATGTGCCTACAGATTTGTTGGGAGGACAGAGAAGGAGGGAAAAGAAAGGAGGAAGGGGAAGGAAGACAGGTGAAACAGATGAATGCCATTCACTTATCTAGGCAAGGGTACACATTAGGATGCCGATAAAAGTAATATATGTGTGTCCTTCTTCAAGAAATCATTTTAATCAAATTTAAAAGGAAGCAATATGGCTGAGTCTAGTCACATAAATCATGATTTCATTACAGAGAAACAAACTTTTTACAGTTCTACTGTAACACACTTGAAATATGAATATATATATATATATATATATATATATGTGCACACAGAAAATGGATTCAGACTTGGACTACAGACTGCATTTCATCAATGGAAGCCTGTGGCTGGCAGAGTAAGCTGTTATATCAAGTCTCAAAGGGAAGCCTTTGTAAAACCGGGCATTTGAACGTATTTTTCCATCTCTTGTCTTCCTTGCATTTTAGAAAGAGAGGGCTGTGCGCAATAGCTATTAATTCACTTGGGCTACAGCTACACTTGGGCTTTTTTTTTTTCTTAGTTGTAATTGCTTTTTTTTTTTTGGCCGGTCATGGGGCCTGAACTCTGGGCCTGGGCACTGTCCCTCAGCTCTTCAGCTCAAGGCTATAGTTCTACCACTTGAACCACAGCACCACTTCTGGTTTTCTGAGTGGTTTATTGGCGATAAGTGTCTCACGGACTTTTCCTGCCTGGGCTAGCTTTGAACGGCAATCCTCAGATCTCAGCCTCCTGAGTAGCTAGGATTACAGGTGTGAGCCACTGGCACCCAGCTTATAATTGCTTTTTAAGAAATTAATTGGAGATAAAAGTCTCATGGACTTTCCTACCTGCACTGGCTTTGGACTGCAATCCTCAAATCTCAGCCTCCTGAGGAGCCAAGATTATAGGTGTGAACACCACACTCAGATCCAAGTGTTTCCTTTTTAATGCCACTTTCTATTTTCCTCTTTTCATTTTGATTTTCTTTTTTATTCACAGTGATAGAAGTTAACTTTAGTATCTAGTAAACAGAATAGCCGGCAGAAATGCAGCTGAATTTGAAAAACAGTAATATAATTATCAATTGATATGTCACTATTGTGATTTGCATTTCCTTGTGTTGAAAGAGCAGCTTATTTATAAATTGATAGCTATGTTATGTTCAGTAAAAGTGTGAAACTATTTGTTGACATGTAAGAATTCAAATGTGTGCAGAATGTGTGCATATGAAAGATGAGTAACCAAATGGCTAGACTCTAACAGTTGCTAATTTATTGTTTCCTAGCTCTAAATTTATCTTTTCCTTGACAGTTCTATAAAAAGAGCTGTGAGCCCTTTGAATACTTTTCCTTTACCAGCTTGATAAGAAAAGTTAAGCATTTCCAGTAGAGGGCACTTCAAAAACATTGCAGAAGGAAGCCATTTTCCATCCGGGTCCTTGTGTGCTAGCTCAACTGACTCCTGCAGCGCCCGCCCATGGCTTCTGCAACATAAGCACAAGTCCCTGCTCCTGCAGCCCTCAGAACCCAGGGCTCGGTTTCAGTAGAACTCAGCAGCCAAAAACTTTCCCCTAGTCCATTGTAGAGTGTATTTGGTGAGACGCTTTCTTCACAAAAAGCTTCCTTACAAGCCTGAGCTCTAGGGGAGCCTCTCTGCCCCAGTGAGTTGTAGGCTTGCCCTTTCCCACAAGGTACAGATGATACACCTCTGGGATTTCCTCTTGGGTATCCTCAGCCCTACAGGTAGTGGCTATTTCTTATATGTGACATTTCTATATTCTTTTATAGCTCAATCTGCCTCTTACTAATCCACACCCCCCCACAACACACTATTGCCATCTCTTGTAATAGTTGATCATTCTTTTTATTAAACTTCCTCCTTTTCAACTGAGTATATGTGCCACAAGCAATGAACATATCCATTACCCAGCTCTGTATTTCTAAATAATCATTCTCCATTACAAGGAACCAGGGTTCCTTGGGGGGAAAGTCTCATTCAGCGATTTCAGGAAAATGAAATACATGAGCCTAGAATATCTTAGAACCAAAAAAGAAAAGAAGAGCTCAATATCAAAAGAATGAGACAGGCCAAAAGGACACAAGGAACACAATCTGACCACCAAAATAGATGGTGTGATATTGTCATATAACCTAAAACACCAAGTAAATACACGTGAGTCCAAATTGGTATCAACTGCTGAGTAAACGGAGAAAGAAGAAACAATTTTAATTCCTTACAAGATGATTTCAAATGACATCACTAGCCACTCCCCACTTCAAGATGACATCAGAAGACACTCCCACTTAAGGATGACATCATCAGTAGACACTCCCACTTAAGGATGACATCATCAGTAGACACTCCCACTTAAAGATCCAGGCTGTGGTGGTTTGGTTTGGCTTGTGATTTGCAGTGTTGGGGATTGAACTGTGGGCATTGCTCAGGCTAGCTGAGCACTGGAACAGATAGACTCTCAGCAATGCCAGCAGCTCTTCCTCCCTGAAAACAAAGCTGGATTTAGTGGTTTCCACACTACAGCACAGGAAAAGAGAGAAGTAACTTTATAGCAAGCACTGCTTTAGTGAGCTGACAATATCATGAGGGGTGTCCTGTGAATATTTTATACAGTGACTGAGTACACCCCAACTCTGTAAGTATACTTTATATGAGGAAAACACCAGACTCACACACAGCTTGGGCTGGGAATTTTCTACTGGAAAGCCAAGTAGGATGAGGACCTGAGTTCAAACCCTGGTACCACCAAAAACTAACCATAAAGCTAAAACATGCATCATAGCAAATAAATGAAATGTTGTCTAATGATCATTTTCAGAATTCTATAATCTTCATTCACAAGCCAGCAAATACTAAAGTACAGCAGCAGTTTACTTTCTGGAAGGTCCCTATCAGTTCTAGGACATCTGAAACCTATGTTTCTACTCGGTTTGGAGTAGAAATACCTTATCTCGATCTCATAGCTGTAGTTTTTACAAAACAAAGTATGAGTACATGTGAAATTCTTCCACAGTCTTCTTGTCCTGGAATTAGTAACAAGCTTTGATTTACAAATGAAGAATGCGACCACTTTTTCCTTTCCCACTCATTTACAATGTTATTTTTCTTCCAAATGTCTAGGCACAACTGGGATTTAAGCTGGAAAAGTTAATGAAAGCAATATCGCATTGAAGGTCAGTGGGCCAGAAAAAGATGGACACAGGCCAAATCCCACATCCCAAGCATTCTGCCTCAATCGCCTGTGAACACATTGCCGACTAGCCTCCTGCTTGCCTGCATGAGCAAAACCAAACCCTCCAAGACAGTTAGCACTAGCACTGAGAAGCCTGTCAGGAGCAGAAAGACACACACACACACACACACACACACACCTACCTAAGGTACAAGAAAAAAAGCTTTCATACCACATGTTTGGGGCACAGATAACACAAAGGCCTTTCTCTGGAAGTGCTGTTTCAGGAAAGCCAAGCAATTCCAAGGTTTTCTGATAGTTTTCTTTTAAGTAGTCCTAACAAGATCAAGAGTAATCTCCCCAGTTGCAAAGTAAGCAAGTAAAATTGGTAAAAGCAACTTCTCCAGACAGCTTTAGGTCCTTTTGGGCCAATCTCAGAAAAGCATTTGATAGCAACGGAGACAATCTTTGCTGCCCTGGGAATGTTCTGAAGCTATGATTTCCGTTTTCTTATGAAGGTAATGTTTTGTGTATGACAGCAGAGCTACACTTCAGCTTCCACTGTCATTTTTCAAGGGAAATAAAGATGAAGGGAACAGGAAGTGGACACAATTATGCACTCAGGGAGGAGTTAGCTGCAGGACTTAAATGTTAACTGTGAAACTGGTCCAGAGAAATGGGATTGCATAACATTCCATCATTTAATCTTTATGATAATGGATGTGGGATTTTAGGTATGGCCTCCTTACAGTCGAGCTAAACATCCTTTCTGAATTGTCATGCCAGCATACTGAAGGAAAATTTTATACTATTTATGATCTCACGTAACAAGCATCAAAATGTTCACGAATTTTCATTTCTTACAAATTGATCTTCCTCTATCTCAGCAAGTGCCCATTATCTCCAGCTCAGAATTCAGAGATAAGTAGTGCTGCCAGTCCCATATAAACTAACAACTTTATTGGTATTAAAACCCATGGGTGGTCAATTTTAATCACCAAGAAGTTATCTTAGATATCAATCGGGATTGTATAGAAGGTGGCATATGATTCTTACAGAATCTTGATTCTGATGAGATCGAGTCGTCTCTCCAGTTCCAAAGTGAGTAAGTGAAGTTGATAAAAGCAGCTTCTCAAGACAGCTTTGGGGAAAGGTTTTGATATGCACAGAAGCCTTAAAAGCCCTTTCCTCCCAAGTGCGTGCTTTGATACTGGGCTAAGGATAGTTCTACAGTAAGTGCATGTGCGGGCTGAACAGGAACTGTCACATGAATGATTCTTTTTTGGAATTCCACGCCATGATCCTCTTGGGATGAAGAAGGAAGCCATGGTCTGGGGGAATCTGCAGACAAGGGGACTCATACAGCACAGAACACCCAAGACAGACAGCAGCAGGTGGGAACTCACCACTGGAGCAGTTGGTTCCACCCCAGCCAGGCTCACAGTGACAGGTGTTGGGAGCAATGCAGTGGCCGTGGACACATTTATCCGCACAGTGAGCTGTCAGAGAGAAAAACATCCGTCAAATCCACAGAGCTGGCACGAGAAACAGAAGGCAAGAAAACCAACAACACAGCTGTTGCGCATCCGAGGCTCAACTCTCACTTAAAAACAACATGCATGCTTCATCGTCTTCTCCAATGGTTCCTCAGCCCTCTTACAGCCTGCTGAATAACCAAACAACTCCCTCCCTTATTTTCAGATCTCTAAATAAAGTCTCCCATTTCTGCCGTTGAGATCGACTTCATACTACATTAGAAAAGAAGGTTCCAGGAAAACTGCCTAAACTGCTTTTTAATAAAACTGTCAGTGAGTACCAAATGGGTGCGGTGGATATGAAGAAACACATCACAAAGCAAGACATCAAGATCCCAGAGGGACAGCATAGATCGAGAGGCAATTCCCTTATGGAATAGGGCCACCAAAAATGATAGTCACTTTTGTTGGTGAACACATAACTCACAGCTGTGACACAACAGATTCAATACACTTGTTCTATTGAGGAGAATTGAGAAATGTCACCCATATCTTTGGAAAATATAGTCCCGTCCTGTTTTATTGGTGAATCTCCAAGCTGAGATCCATCCCAAAGCTGAGATCTAGAGGATCTCAGTTCACAGCTAGTCTAAACAGAAAAGTAGCACCAAAAAAAAGTAGTAAGACTGGTGGAATGGCTTAAATGGCGGGACATTAGCTGAGCAAGCAAGCTGAACAAGGAGTTCAAACCCCATTATGTATAAATGTACGAATTAGATGTGGTAGCTGATGAAAATTCCAAATTTCTGTGTTTATTCAGTAGTGCCACTCTCTCCATTTAATTCTATAAAAATACGATAGAGTTGATACATAGCATTGAAAGCATTCCTTTGTTTTTTTAATATACTGGGGATATATATAAGATATATATATATCTTATACATATCCCCAATATATTAAATATATATATATATCAAATAAAATAATGCTACCCCTTGAGAACCTGAAAAATCCAAGAAGTTGGACGGGATGGGAGCACGTTGGGTTTTGTATCTGCCAAGGAGCCTGTCTGCAAGAGGAGGAGGTTGGCATGTTTGGTAGACAGGTCTCAGTGCTGCTTTCCCGTTCTTCTCTCACCTTTCATCTGTTCTTTCCTTAACTTCTTTCTTGCTTTCTAACATTCATCCCGTCTCTCCCTGCAAACTGCTTCTAGGACATGCAGTTACCATAGAGGCTGGAGATTAAATTTTGATTTTAGTTGTAGCTATGTTGGATCTTAACTCCAATGATTTCTGCTAGACCACTTGAATTGACTATTAAGACACTAATGACTCAATAACATCTCTGCTCCAATATGAAGAAAATTTTTATTTGAAAAGTTGAATAAGAAATGCATAGGCTACCCCTATTTCCAGAGAGCAAATAATCAAAATTGCGAGCTACTCGGGAGGCTGAGGTCTGAAAGATGATAGTCAGAGGCCCAGCCCAGGAACAAAAGTCTGCAAGACTCGTATTTGCAACATAGCTAGCAAAAAGCTGGTCTGAGACATGCACGACTGAACTGGTAAAGCACCTATCAAGTGAGAAAACTGAGCTAGCTTTAGGTCCTGCCAAAATTAATCATCATCATCAGATCTGCATATGCTCGTTCTTAATCTTTTATTATTTTGGCACTTCTTTTGTCAGCTCTGGAAAAATAATAAATTCCCATGGGCAGAATCAAAGGAGATGTAGCTTGAAATGCTTCCAGATTGTTGAATAATTAAACAAACGTGATCATGTTTCATTCATGGAAATGTAAACTTTTAGCTTATACCAAAGGAATCTTGACAAGTCTGGACAATTACAACAAATAATACATGAAAATCCTCTGATAGTAATTTAAAAATCAGAATTATTTTTGGGAGACCCTTGTAGTAACAACTGTCTCGTGTCTAAAACAAATTGCGGATCAGTCATTAGCGGAACCCATGCATTTGTCTGAAGGCTAATTAAGAAGGAGAAATCTGCTTTCCTGGTGATGTCTTTTTCTTAATTAAAACTCAAGCCTATGCAATCACCTTTGAGCTTTGCAAAACTCCTACTGTCAAATAAATGACGGGAAGCACTGTTTGCTGGTAGAAGTTGCACATGGGAAGGACACAGGACTCTGCCTCTGTAGCAGAGAAGCTATACCCCACGCTGGACCCCTGCTCAAGAGCAGCCCTGTTTCTGCGTTCCATCCATGCCACTATGACTAACAGACAACATGTGGGAAACCGAGGCAGGGTTAAAGATACGACTGAGTCGTGTGTAAAATGCCCGAGGGAACTAGAAAAGAGTCTACCTCAGCAAATGTTCAGATGCTCAAATAGTTAAAAGGTTCACATGTTTGATCCCAAGCCCACGTGCAGAAAACCATTCTACCTGTGGCTCTCCAGCGCACAGAGACAGAGAGCCATGTTGTTCCTTTCTGTGTCCTTTCTTCCTATTTTCAAAAGAGTCATTAAAACTAAGATTACCCCAGCCAAGATGGTCTATCCCATAGGAGCCCTCTTTCCCACTTCTTGTTAAAAAAATAATTATGTATTTTAGTCAAACTAGCCTTTCTTTGAGGCAAGATATAAGCTGAATCAACCTCCACTCACTACCCTGCTGTAGGTCCATGAGGCTGCCCAGCGGAAGCAAGACATCTTCTCTGCTAGAAGCAGGAGACAAGAGATGAATGAGATGGACAGGGCTTGTCTGTGAAGTGAAGGCTGTGGACAGCCTGTCTGTCTCCTGGACCGGTGAGCACTGGCATGCCGACCCCAGGGTCCTCTGTAATTAGACTCCTGTTTCAGTCTTCGTTCCTAAATCCACTTAAATCCTATAAGCAATACCATGGGCATCACTGCTTTCACATCCAAACGCATGGCTTTCATACTGAGAGCCATCAACGATAGCCAAGTATTTTTTTTTCCTTCTGCCACATATTGTACTTTGGATTTACACCTAGGGATGGAGAAAACGCGAAAGAAGAGCAAGCAAAGATCCCTTTAAAACTTGATTATATCCCTCAACAAAATTGCTCTGAAGGGAATGACATAATAAAAGCTCAGGTCCCTTCCTTTCCGTCTGCGTCACTAGTGCCTGGAGTGAACTTGCAAAGTGCATTAGACAACTCTGAGGAAAGAGAAGAGAGAACCAACCATGGAAGCCTGGACTCTGAACTCTCCCCAGGGTGAAAGGTTGGTGGCTATACATCACCGCCTTCCAGACCTCTTGTCACGAGCATAATAAATCCCTAGTATATACACATTTGTTTCAGAGGCCTATTTTTTTTGTTGTTACTAAAAAATTATTCCTAACCAGAACATGTATCCTTTGGTAAGTCTTTTAGGTGAGTCCACTTTAAAAATGTAGTAAGTATCTACATTAGCAGAATGGATCGAAGGCCTTTCTCTAAGAGAAAGAGATGTAAAGACTCACAATTTCTACAGGGCCTTTGAAGGAAAGGTGTTCCAACCTAAGTCTAAGGGGAACAGCTAAAAGAGGTGCAGAGAATAAAAACATCAACACTAGTTATACATCCTATTCCCTCATGGAAACACCATTTGACTTGAATTACAATGCAATATATTCATATTATACTTACTATATACTTGTTGTGATATTGTAATATATGTGTATTTACATTGTATATATATACACATGTATATATGAATGTATATATGATACTCATATGTATCATATATGAATATATACATGTGTATATGCATATAAATACTTACATATGTTTAAAACACATCATTACCTCAAAAAAATGTAAAAAGGCATTTAGTATGCCTGAAAGAAATGTCTGCCAATTAGGATCAGAAAGAAATTTCTTGCTAGCTGGTGGTGATTCATGTCTATAATCTTGGCTACCTGGGAAGCTGAGAGCAGACAGATGTAGGTTTGGGGCCAACATGGGCAGAAAAGCTCTTGAGACTTTATTTCCAAACTACCCAGCAAAAACATGGCTAGAGGTACAGTTCAAGAGGCTGTGCATGAGACCCTGGCAGACATCAAAAGTCAACACATCTTAGGATTCCTTGTGCATAAAGCTCTAGAAAATACACTGCAATCCCAGCTAACAGAAAGAGCATACTCATAGCTGCCTGAGGAGAGGGAGGGAGGTGGAGAGAAGGAATCTCCACGAAAAGGGGCAGAAATGTTTGTTCTCGATGAACATGTTCGTTGCCCTGAGGGAAGCGAAGGACTGGGAAGCTTACCAATGTGCATACCTACACGTGACAGTTTACTTCATGTCAGTTTTAATTGCAATAGAGCTATTTAAAAAAGATAATTACAGCATGGGGAGAATCTGCATAGAGGAGCAAAGAACTTTTTATGTACCAAAACTGGGGGATGGGAGCACAGAATAGAATTAAACCTGCACGAACATTAAAATATTGTACAGACTTCACCCTTCCTCCCTTCTTTCCTTCCTTCCTTCCCTCCTTCCATCTTCTCTCCCTCTTTCCTTCATCTATCTTTTCCTTCTTTCCTTCCTTCTTTTCCTTCCCTTGGTTCCTTCCCTCCTACCCTCTCTCCCTCATTCCTTTCCTCCTTCCCTTCCTCCTTCCATTCTTGCTTTTTTTCATTTCCCCTTTCCTTCCTTCTCTCCCTCTCTCCCTCCCTCCTTCCCTCTCTCATTCTTTTTCTCCTTCCCTTCCTTCTTTTCTCGCATTCTTCCTTCCTTCTTCCGCACTGAGGATATAACCCACAGTCTTGCTATATACATTGGGCTCCAGGCCCAGCCCTGCAACTTCAGTAATTGTACATGGCCCTCGGTGACTGAGCTCCTCTCATGCCAATGTACACATTGGCATTAGATGTTCTCAGTAAACATTTGGGAAAGGGGGAGATAATGCTAAAAAAAATCAACCACAATGTGATAGTTTAACAGTCTTTTTCTCTACAAAGTAAGTGACTTATATAAAAGGAAGAGAAGGTAAGAAAAAAGAAAGAAAGCTGTATAGACCACTGTAATAGATCCCAGGCAAGGGAATGAAATAGCA